ATTTGAGGGTTGAAAATATTGTCTAATATCAGGAGATTGTATTTCCTTTTTTGGCTCCATTATTGTATTATAAAAGGATGTACATAGTGAGTTTCAATTATCAAGAAATATAGAAAATTTCTTGTTCCCCTTTTTGTTCATGGTATTAGAGCCTAGGATTGTCTAAACCTAGCAACCTATGGCAGAATTTCCCGTTAACAGTTCGGGGTCAGTCATGTCCGACACCCGACAAACCGATAAAAGGTTAACTCCACAATTGGTTCTCACGGTTTCAAGAACTCATCTTTTTAGCTCACAGTTGAAAAATTAAAGGGAAAAATTATCGTGAATGGGCCCAATCAATTAAGTTGGTGATTGATGGAAAGGGGAAACTAGGGTACCTTACCGGTGAAATGAAGAAACCAACAGATTCTGCATTCCTGCAACGGTGGAAGTCGGAAAATTTCATGGTCACCGCCTGGTTAGTGAACTCTATGAAACCAACAATAGGAAAGACTTGCCTCTTCCTTTCTACTGCAAAAGAGGTGTCGGACGCAGTGAGAGAAACATACTCGGACTCAGAAAATTCATCACAAAGCTTTGAAATCAAGACCCGGTTGTGGCAAATGAAGTAGGGAAACAAAGATGTTCCCGATTATTTCATGGAGATGACCTCACTTTGGTAGGAGGCTGACCTTAGCAGCGACGAAGAATGGACTGTGGAGACGACAGTGTGCAGTATAGGAAGAAGATTTAGAATGAAAGAGTGTATGAGTTCTTGGCTAGATTAAATCGGGACCTTGACGATGTTAGAGGTCGAATCTTTGGCCGGCGACCACTGTCATGCCCTTCCCGAGGTCTTCTTTAAGGTTCGACGAGAGGAGGTGTGACGTCTGGTGATGTTGGCCGAAGAATCTCATGGACCAAGTGAAGTGTCGGCCCTTATGATGAAAGGTAAAGGGCCAGAAATTAGTAGGACACACGGGCTCACATTTCATAGCCCAATTACTGGGAAAAATCTACTTATTGGACGGTCTAGTGGGAAAGATATTAGGCTAGAAAATAATGGGCTTGAAATCATGGCTATGTCATCAAAGTCAACAATAAAAGGGTCAGGCCAAAAACAACGTAGCCGCTCTTGGTGTGAACATTGTCGTAAGCCTGGATATAAAGAAAATACATTTTGAGACCTACATGGAAAACCCTCTGACGGGAAGCTAAGCAAGGTACTAGGAGTCGAGGATCTCAAACCGAGGCATAAATCAACCCTACTCAAAGTGGTGCATTCAACCTCGAACAATTGGAACAATTCTACCAAATTTTTTCAGTCTTCAAACTTCTGGCCAGTCCACTCCTAATGGTCATTCAAGCTCCCTAGCTCATAAAGGTAATTTCTTCATAACCTTGTGTACCACTTCAAAATCAAAAACTCCTTGGATTATCGACTCCGGAGCATCCGATCATATGACAGACACTTATCATCTGTTTTTCTTATATTCAACTTGTGCTGGCAATGTTAAAGTCAAAATTGTAGATGGCTCCCTCTCATCTGTTGCAGGAAAAGGGACTATCAGGATCTCTAATTTTATACCACTTGAATTGGTCTTACATGTTCCAAATTTATCTTGTAATCTATTGTCAATTAGCAAATTAATTAGAGACTCCAATTGCTCGACTAAATTTCTTCTATCTCACTGTATTTTTCAGTACCTTTCATCAGGGAAGATGATTGGCAGTGTTAAAGAGCGTGAGGGGCTATAGTACTATGAGGAGGTTGATGTGAGTAAATGACATAAAATTGCAACTTGTGAGTCTGCATCTGTTTCTAGGGATAGTGAAATTCTATTATGGCATTATAGACTAGGCTACCCGAATTTTCAGTACTCGAAACGTATAATCCCTTCAATATTTTCGAATAAAATTTTAGCTGATTTTCAGTGTGAAAATTGCGAATTTGTGAAACAATAGCGTACTTCTTATCCAAACTCTACATACAAACCAACTAAATCCTTCACTATGATCCACAGTGACTTATGGGGACCTTCTCAAACCTCGAATTGAACAAACACAAGGTGGTTCATCACATTCATAGCTGACCATACTAGAGTCTGTTGGGTCTATCTACTAAAAGAAAAACATGAAGTCCGCTCCTTGTTTATCAATTTCTAGACAATTTCATACACAAATCCAAATACTCCGCACCAATAACGACATAGAATACATCAATACTACACTACGAGACTATTTACAAAACCATGGGATAGTCCACCAAACTTCTTGTGTCGATACTCAACAACAAAATCGAATTGCTGAGCGGAAAAATAGACACCTTCTTGAAGTTGCCCGTGTTTTATTGTTTACCACAAACATGCCAAAACTATTCTGGGGCAATGCCATATTAACAGCCACATATCTAATCAATAGAATGCCCAGTCGTACCCTATCCTTTGACTCACCTCTTCAAAAATTCCAAAAATACTTCCCTACCTTTCGTCTTAACTCTAACCTACCTTTGAAAGTGTTTGGATGTATGGCCTTTACCCATATTCACTCTCATCAAAATAAACTAGACCCATGTGCACTTAAATGTGTGTTTATTGGATACTCACCTACTCAGAAGGAATATAAATGACATGATCCATCAACAAAATGGGTCTTTGTTAGCCACAATGTCACCTTCATTGAAAAAACACCCTACTTCAAAGAACCTTTTTTTCAGGGAGAGAATCTGAATGAAGAGATGTCCTTTGAAGAATTTTTCAACTTTGACCTCTATCTTCTCGAACCAACCTATTCTAAACAGGTCACGTCTAATATGCCATCTACAGAACGGAACTTGAATAGAGGGGGAGATGCAGAAAAACAAAAAGACAAGGAAATAATAGTTTACTCAAGGAGGCCGAACTCAAAGTATAAGGGAAACCTCGCACCTGAGACACCAAAAGAGTCACAACTGGTGATAGGGCCTAATGAAATCCTATCCGATAAATCTGGATCTCCAAGTGATGATTTACCTATTGTTCTGGAAAAACAAACTCGGTTATGTACTCTCCACCCTATCTCTAAATTTGTGTCTTGTCAAACTCTATCTACAAAATCTCGTACTTTTGTTGCTAACCCTGACAATACTGAGGAACATTCAGGAGGCCTTGGAAGTTCCCAAATGGAGAGAAGCAGTAGTAAAGGAAATGCGCGCTTTAGAAAAAAATGAAACTTGGGATATGATGAAGTTACCGAAGGGCAAGAAACTAGTTGGCTGTAAATGGGTCTTTAATGTGAAGTATAAAGCTGATGGGTCGATAGAACAATATAAAGCTCGGTTGGTAACCAAATAATACACACGGACATATGGTATTGGCTACTTGGAGACATTTGCATCAGTGGCAAAACTAAATACAATTTGAGTTCTCCTATCTCTAGCAGCTAAGTTGGATTAGCCTCTCAAGTAGCTAAATATTAAGAATGCTTTTTTGAATGGAAAATTGGAAGAGGAAGTATTCATGACAATACCACCAGGGTTCAGTAATGGGGATGAAAAAGACTGGGTATGCAAAGTCAAGAAATCATTATACAGTTTTAAGCAATCACCAAGAGCATGGCTTGACAAGTTTGCAAAAGTGTTGAGGAATTAGTGATATCAGCAAGAGCAGTCAGATTATACCATGTTTTTCCAACAATTTGAAGAAGGAAAAATAACAATCCTAATTGTGTATGTAGATGATATAATCCTCACTAGAAACAATATAATTGAGATGGATAGACTAAAGAAAAGCCTAGCCTCCGAATTTGAAGTAAAAGACCAGGGACAGATGCGGTACTTCTTGGGTATGGAGGTAGCAAGATCAAAAAGGGGTATCAGTTTATCACAACGAATATACATTCTTGACCTGTTGACTAAAACTAGCATGCTTAGTTGCAAACCAAGCAACACAACTATAGATTGTGGAAGAATGCAACCAAGCAACACAACTATAGATTGTGGAAAAAGGACAGATAAGACAGGGGAACCAGTTTAAAAAGATAAATACCAACGGCTGGTTGGAAAGTTAATCTACCTATCACACACCCACCAGACCATACATTGCTTTTGCAGTTAGCGTTGTGAGTCAACACATGCACTCGCTAAGGGAAGCTAACCTAGAAGTAGTATACAAAATTCTCATATATCTAAAAGGCTCTGTTGGAAAGGGATTATTCTTCAAGAAGTGTGAAAAAAGGAAAGTAGAAATATTTATGGATGCTGATTGGGCCGAATTAATAGAAGACAGGAGATCAACGTTAGGTAATTGTGCCTCTGTATGGGAAAATTTGGTAACTTGGAGAAGTAAAAAACAAAATGTAGTGGCAAGAAGCAGTGCCGAAGCATAATTCAGAGCAACTGCACAAGTGATATGTGAAGACTATGGTTAAAAAAACTCTTAGAGAAATTGAAGGTTGGAATGAAATTTCCAATAAAACTCTTGTGATAATAAAGCGGCCATCAGCATTTCACTCAACCTAGTTCAGCACAATAGAACAAAGCACGTAGAAATTGATACAAACTTTATCAATGAAAATGTTGAAGAGGGAGTCATTTGTATAGTATATGTCCCTACAAGGGAACAAATGGTAGATATTCTCACCAAAGGGTTGTCTCAAGGAGATTTTAACGATTTCATTAGCAAGTTGGATATGATCAATATATATGATTTAACTTGAGGGAGAGTGTAGGAAATTGTGTATAAAGGAAAGATATCAAAATTTATAATCTAACTTGAGGGGAAGTGTAGGAAATCGTGTATAAAGGAAAGATATCAAAATCTTTCCTTTGATAGTGTCGATTGATAATTTTAGGGCTGAAAATATTGTCTAATATTAGGAGATTGTTTTTTCCTTTTTGGCTCCATTATTGTATTATAAAAGGATGTGTACATAGTGAGGTTCAATTATCAAGAAATATAGAAAATTTCTTGTTCCTGTTTTTGTTCAGTTTATTATATGTGTAAATGTAATAGTCCTTTCATTTTGTATGGTTCTACTAGGATGCTGTAAAGCTTCAAGTAGCTGCTGCTAGTCACAGAGAAGTTGGTCAACTCCAATCGTCTAAATCACAGGTGAACAAGAGCACATCTGATGTAAGGAATAAACGAAAGTTTGATGCAAATTCAACAAAAGCATTACACCATTGTGATCAAATCAGCAAGCAGATCGATGTAGACGAGACAAAGAAAGTAGGTGAGGACGTTCCTGTTGTTAAGAAAAGGGATGGGAGACACAGTTCTCTGCTAAACTCAGAGGAGGGATATGATCTTTCCTGCCCGCCAGTTCAAAACTCTCATTCTAGGAAGAGGCGCACAAGGAAAAAGGTATGGCTTAGTTATTTTTGTCAAGAATTTCTATTAAGTTATTAAATTTTTAGTCATCCCTTACAAGAGTTTAATTAGATGTGTAGGTATTTTTTATATTACCACGCAGATTTGGTCTATAACTTGTGCTAATTACTTGTGAAATGCTGTTGGAATTATAATGCTTTCTTACTTTGATCTCTACTTGTCCTCTTCTATGCTAATATATTATGCTGATGTCAAGAAAATGCACATTTGGTAACTGCATTAATGAGATTAAAATGTGTTTAGACCTTATATGTAATTATTTGACCAACATTTGAAATAATAGGTTAGTATTTGAGGTCATCAATTCAAAACATGCATGAGGAGCTATAAATAGGCTGTACAAGAAAAATAATAAAGAGAAAAATGTTTACCTTATCCTAGCTATCCAACCATTTCTAGGAGAATCAACTACAATAAAAATTAAAATCAGGCAAGGAAAACAGGTCCAATAATAAATATACCAAATACACATTACATACCATTCTGGGAAATAAAGATCTTTTGGTATATTACGCTGTAATGGTTACATTATTGGTAGCTTATTGCCATTTCAAAAGAAGTACACGAGTTTCTGCGTTTCTATAGAAGCTGGTCCTTGTTGAATTTTATAAAAATTATTTTCATTAATTCTTTAGCATGTTTGGCTAAGCTTATCAGGTGCTTTTCTAGTTTGGCCCTTCCAACTATTCTTATTGAATTTTGATTTATGTACTGGACCTAACCACCTGGTGCCCACCTCTAATTGTGGGTGGGACGAGGGGTGTATATTTATAATGCTCTTGGAAGTTAGGTTGGGGGCAGTACATATGCAGGTGTGGGGGGGGGGGTGGGGGCGGGGGGGGGGGGGGGGGGGGGGGGGGGGGGGGGGGGGGGGGGGGTTGAGTAGCTTCTGCCATCGTATACACATTCATTCAGTCACGGGTTGACTTCGTAACTACCAGACGTCTTTTTCTACCCTTGGTGTTGAGCTTTTCTGTTACACACCAATAGTTACTATGCGTGTACTCCCTCCCTTCTTTTCTTCCACACCTTTAATTTGTATGCAGCGTTCAGCATACAAATTTTGCCCTTAGATTCTACTTAATTAGGTGGAAAAATTGTACCATTTTCTCCAACCTATTATTGCGAGTTGGTCTCAAATATTTGCGAAATAAGTCTTAAGATTGTGCATTTTCATAGAAGTTGGTCCTCATTGAATTTCACAAGCTTTATTGTCACCAATTCTGTATCATGTTTGGCTAAGCTTATAAGGTTCTTAACGTGTCATGCCTTTAAGCATTTCTTATTGCATTTGATTTACGAATCTGGATTGGCCTAACAAATTTTTTCTTTATGATATGAATCTAAATGGAAGTCGTGGGTTCAAACAATTGATCTCCTTTTCAGATCTTACTCAAAAAGGAAATAGGATACTGTGACACCAATTCTTATTTTTGTGAAATATCTCATTTAAATGCCTTCTGGACCATGTATTTGGTAAAGGTTCTAAGTTTCTTGTCCGAACTATAATTTTAATGTGCAGGTTCAGTAGGCCTCAAATTAATTCTTCTCATCCTTCCAGAGGAAACACAAGGTGAGATACCTATTTCATTAGCTATCCTTGTTGTGTAGAACTAATTAAATTTCCAATTAATTAAATCGATATCTTCCACAAAAGTATTTTTTTTTAAGGATTAAATTTTGGTAATGAGATTATGGAGTTGCTTACTTCATCTCTCGATTCAGTAATTAAACCTTCATAAATCCATTTTTTCCCTTCATTTTCCAGGGAAAGCTTCCTTGAAGTATCCACAGATGGAGGAAGAATGATATTAAACTTGTCTTGGTTTAGTTCAATTTACCTTACCAAACAAGACATTAATGTTCTTGAATTGTCAATATCCAACATAGTGAGGATATAACCACTGTCTTGACCCATTAGCTTCATTTTACCACACTTAATAGTTTTTTCCTCCTTTGAATGTAAATTCATGCTATTAGCATTGTTGGAAATATTGCAAAGACAATTTCATATATACTAGTAAAAACTGTAATTTTGGATTTGGTCCTGTCTCTCCGGAGGCAATAGCTTATCAGATTTAACCTTGGATTCCGTGGTAGTTCACAATCAGAAATACGAAAAACAAACTTATATGTTGCTCATCGGAATGTCCATCCTGTTCATTGCTATGCACCTAACAAGCCCTTATGAGTTCCTTACAAAAACCTGATGCACTTCCTGAGGATAAAAAAACAAGGGGTGAACAGTTTTGAAATTGTTTGTAATTTTTCTTATGCAGGTTTCTGGAAAAAGAGGAGACAACTTGAAGTAACAAAGGGAAAAAGAATTACAAGAACCTTGCAATTTTGAAGTGTTTGAAGTACGTGACTTTATCGGTATATAGTTTTGTTAAAGTCCATTTTTGATATCCGTGCACTCATCTATTAACAAGTAACAGATGAAAGATATGATGTTCGTTCGAGGTGTAATAATCTATTTTGCATCCTCATTTTCTATATTATGATGTGTATACATTGATCTTTTTTGTGTTATTGGCAACATTTCGGTTTAACTTTGTTTTTTGTCCAAGCAGTCTGTGAAATATTGTTAATTCAGCACCTATAAACCAATTTGTCAAATACAATTGTACAAATAGCTAGTGATGGCAATGGGGCGAGGCGTCGTGCCGCCCCACGCCCCACACCCCGCCCCGCCTTTGACGGGACAGGGTGGGACGTGGGGCTGGGCAATTTTCTTGCCCCGTTTAATTTTTTTTTTTTAATTCCGAGTTTAATAAAATACGGATAACATTCAAGTTGAATTTTTAATAAAGAATGTTCTTACTTTATGTAAATTTAAGTTTTTATTTTGGGATAAAATTATTTATAATGTAAAATGATTTTTAGAGAATGTGAATAAAAAGTATGAAAAAATTATATGTCTACATGTAAATTATGTTATTAAAAAAATTGTGATAGAAAATAAGTTTAAATAAAAAGCGATTTTGAAATATGTTGCATAGATAAACTCTATATAAAAAATAAAATAAAATAATAAAAAAATTTCAAGGTGTGGGTTCGGGGCAGGGCATCCCCGTCCCGCGACGGGGTGGGTTTTTTTGCCCCATTCGAGGCAGGGTGGGGTAAATTGCCATCACTACGAATAGCACATTGAACTTGTATGGCATGATTTTTGCTATTGCTTTTAATTATTGTAAAAGAGCTTCTTGACTGTGGCGGACACAAAGCCCCCCAACTTTGAGGAATTTTTATTTTATTTATTTATTTATTTTTTTAAATAGTCTTGTTTGGTATGGATTAAATTAGATTTTAATTTAATTCAAAGTTAATAATTAATTTTAATAATATATTTCATGGATCATCTACCATTTTTCAACTTTTATCAGAATTTTCTAAAAAATTGATTTTAATTCCCATTGAAAAGGGTAAAATTACAATAGATTTATTTGAGCTCTCTCTCTCTCTCTCTCTCTCTCTCTCTCTCTCATATGGTTTTTTTTTTTTTAATCAAAATTTTAACCCTTCTAATTATTCAAAATCTCTATAATATTTTCAAAAATTACCACATCTAAGAACCTTCACTTCCCTGCCAAAATTTCAACTAATTAAAACCTAAATTTACATTTTTAACTATCAGTTTTATTTGACATTGTTGTAAAGTGATTGTCATTACGCCACAGCCGCCCTCGTTTGCCGTTGCAAAGTGGGGAAAAAGGGGTTTGGATTACATTTGTAGCCTTTTTTAGGGTTTATTTTTTTTTTTCGATTAATGTATTTTGTATATTGAATTTTGTCAAATTGATTTGAAAATGGGTTTAAATTATTTATGTTATATGGAATTATTTTTAAATTATATACATAGAATAACTCATAAATAATTGTGTCCATTTTGACATATATTTAACAAATTGTGTTTATTTAAAATTATTATTAGTATTTAAATTGGTTATATATACTTCCTTCCGATCATAAATAGGCGTTTTGTTGTGATGAGTACAATATTAATCATAGGAATGTTCAAAATCAAATGAATGAAAATGATGAGCAAAATGATTTATTTATTATTGTTTTTAACTTAAATATGCGTTTTCGCGGGTCAAGTGTGAATTATTAAAAAATTAAGAACAAAGTATTTGATCTGTACAACATTTGATTGTACTTTTTAACTAAAAATGTCTACGTCCGCCACTACTTGAGAAATCTATCTTAATTTTTGTTTGAAACTTAATTTCTAAAAGAACTTTGATATCTTGGAAGTATTGTCACATTGGACCAACTTCATCTACAAGCTCTTATAAATAAAAGAAACACTTTCATAAAATTAGTCAAACAGATCAAAAAGTTTTTTTTGTTCTCAAAAGTTTATTTTTACTTCTTATAAACCATGTCAAATGGGCACATTAACTTGCTCCGGCAAAATGTATTTTAGGGGGGTGTTTGATAGACATTTTTATGTAAAAATGTATTTTAAAATAGTAAATTGATGTGAAATGTGTGATTAAGAAATAAGGAAAAGTTTTTTACTTACGTGTAATATTATTTTAATAAAGAATGTGTGGTTGAAAAGAGAGAGAGAAATGCATTTTGAAAAAAATAGCTACCACACGGGTCAGTAAGATCGTAACTCTTATTGGAATGTTACATATAGCGACATAGTTATAATAAATTTACACTTCTATTGTTTCTTATTCCTTTTTTCCTTTTATAATATGTTACAAGCACGAATTTTGCTAGTTAGTTTAACAAAAATAAATTTTTTTTTTTAATTCAAAATCATGTTTGGAAAATTGAGTTAGCTACAAAATATTGTATTAATGTTCTTGAAGAATATTTATATTTCAGAATACTATTATGTTGTCCAAAGAAGCACAAGAATATTTATTTTTCAGAATACTATTATGTTGTCCTGAAGAAGCATAAGAAACAAAATTCTGTTTATTACATCAACATATTTAATGAATATTTTAAAATATTGTTTTTGTCCCTTTTGGAAAGCATGACCCTATAACATTTGTTTCCAGTATGCTTCTCCTTAACGAAGTGCGATCCTATTAATGTTCTAAAAGAATATATATATATATAGAATTGGGTGCTATGTCAATTCCATACAATATAGGGAATTTATATACACATATACGAAGAGAATATTGTAGATTCTTGAACTGATAACCAACTTTCAGCTAACCTAGCCTCCTCCGTCCCTCAGGATCCAGGAGCAGTACCAAGGTGTTTCAAAGGTGGGGTTATCTTGACAGGGGGCTTGAGAGGTGGTGGTTTATCCTGCAGCGGATGTTAGCGGTTTGAGTCCTATACACACACACACACACTTAAAAAATAAAGAATTTATTATCATTCTTAAAACAAATATCACGTCGTGATCTTGAAAAAGCACGTCTTAAAGACAAAGTATCGAGTTGTTATTTTTGAATAAAAAGAAATTGTCTTACAGAAGCAAAATTTTTTTACATTTTAATATTCTTCAAGAGTAATATGTGGTTGCTCCTAGAGAAGTATAAATTTTTATAGGTCAATATTATTAAAAAAAAAAATAGTCTTGATGTTCCCAAACAAACACGACTTTATAAACATCAATATTTTTAAGGAAAATTGTATTTTACTCTTGAATTAGTATAAATCTATACATGCCTATATTTTATTAGAATATGACACTGGCGTTCCTAAAGAAACATGACTTGAGTCTATGCATATTCTAGTCGAATATGTATCGTATCTATTCATCTTATCATTTATTGTTTTACATGTATGTGTTGGAATGCGAAAGTAGAATTATCCAAAAATTAGAAATTTTCTTTAATTTAATGAACAAAGTTGTCTAGATATTCACGTGTATGTTACATTAAGAATAAATTATTCGAACTTTTACCTAAATTCGATATTTAATTCTTGAATTCATTTTAAATTATGAACTTTCAGCTTTTGGATCACAAACTCCCATACTTTTAGTTTCAAGATTCAAGAATTTGATACTTCAAACCTCTAAGTCATCTATGGTATTCTCCAAAGTCAAGACTTTATTGGTGGGTGGAAATATTCTTTCAATTAGATCAAGAAACTAATTCTTAAACTAGATAATTGAACAAAAAAAGAAAATAATTCTCTCTCATTTTTCCTTCTCTCCAAATTTGAACACTATGAAAGTATATATTATGATTGTTGTAGGAATTCTAGGTTCTATCTACTCTCTATTTATAGAGATAGAATAGTTTCAATCATTGTAAAATAATAATTCCACATTCAAATAAGAGCTTTAATTAAAATCTAAGTAGAAATTTTAATTAAAGTTCAAATCCAATTAGTTTACATTAGTCCTAGAACTTCAATTATAATTAAGTTTACAACTTTTATAGTAATTACAATTAAGTATAGAACTTTATTGTAATTACAATTAAGCTCAAAATTATTATAATTTCCGTAATTAAATTCTAATACTTTATATAGTCACCACATGAATCTGATCAGATATATATTATCTAAGCTCCAATAATTAAATCTTATTTAGTCGACCCTAAACCACTTAATTTAATTATTAGTTTTTTTTTTAACTAAAGGCAAAAGACTAAATCTTGAAATAAATAAGATCACTGAAGCCAATAAATTTGAAATGACCGTTTTTCTTTTGAACTTATTCTCACTAATTTAAGTACTATTTTCTTAAACAGTCCTATAAACTAATTATAGATGTTAAGATTTAGCCGTCGTTAAACATTGAGCTCAAATTTTAACCTTACAACAGAAATTACTTAAGTAGTCATTCTATTCCCAACATGAATTCATGTTCTCTACTTCGATCATTCTCAAGCTTCAAACTCATCGAGATAATTGACTAATCAAATTGATATCATCAATTGATGAATTAAAGAACCATTAAAATAATAGAAATATATGTATATAACATTGTTAAGAGATTTAGATGAAATATACAGCGATCAAGTTAAATTTAATTATTCGCACTGTAATGTTATAGAATTAAATTGACATGTGGTTCATTCAATACACTCCAAGTGTACATGTATCACTTTTAACTAATTCTATGATGACGACAATCACAAATTTGAATAGTGAATCGATTAACACTAAAATTTTCCACTACAAGGTGCAAATTCTTATAAATTGATTGTGAACAAATTATTTATGATCAAAATATAAGTTGTTGCACTGTACTTTTCAATTTAAGTTCTCAACTAATATTATCACAAGTGATCACAGAGACTTTAATTCAGATGCTCAATAATAAATAAA